TCCAAACCAAAACCACACTTCACTGCAGGGAGAAGAGGATGAACAAGTGAAGTTAGGGCAGCGCAGAATGTGATTCAAAGCGGAGTCTCTTCGCATGCACGATCTCTTTTGACTGTTCCCCTCGGACCAATCTCGGGGTGATCGGAGAATGATCACTTCCTCTCGGAAGGTCACTGAGGACACTGAATCAGATGGAAAACGAGTGTGGTTGCTTTAGTCGTTCAAAGAAGGGCCAAGCAACAAAGAAGGGTCAAGCAAATCTCTACCTGCAAGATCCTGAAAGCAAAAAACATGCGCCTGTCTTGCAAAATGCCCAAAAGACCGACATCTCTCAGACAGGGAAAACGTGAGGAAGATCTACGATGTGACAAAGCACAAAACTAAAAGGTTTGGGGGGAGAGGCCATCGCTCTTATATAGGTTGGAGGCCATCGCTTTTAGGTTGGAGGCCATTGCTATTAGACTAAAACCATCGCTCTTAGGTTGGAGGCCATCGCTCTTAGGTTGGAGGCCATCGCTTTTAGGTTGGAGGCCATTGCTATCAGATTAAAACCATCGCTCTTAGGTTGGAGGCCATCGCGTTTAGGTTGGAGGCCATTGCTATTAGATTAAAACCATCGCTCTTAGGTGGGAGGCCATCGCTCTTAGGTTGGAGGCCATCGCTTTTAGGTTGGAGGCCATCGCTCTTAGGTTGGAGGCCATCGCTTTTAGGTTGGAGGCCATCGCTCTTAGGTTGGAGGCCATCGCTTTTAGGTTGGAGGCCATCGCTCTTAGGTTGGAGGCCATCGCTTTTAGGTTGGAGGCCATCGCTCTTAGGTTGGAGGCCCTCGCTTTTAGGCTGGAGGCCATCGCTCTTAGGTTGGAGGCCATCGCTTTTGGGTTGGAGGCCATCGCTTTTAGGTTGGAGGCCATCGCTTTTAGAAACAAAGAACATAGAAAAGGAAGGCCCTGTCTCCGTGGGCCGTGGCCTGGCGGGGCTCGTCGCCACTGGGCTCACCGCCACCGGGCTCACAGGCGCCGCGTCAGGGGGGTCCAAGTCGGGTGCGTCGGCATCAGCCTCCTGGCGTTGGAATGCATGGATGTGTCTGCTTTGGCTTGGAAAAGACCTCAAGGCAGCATGGAGAAGGGGAAGTTCTTCTAAAGAAATTCAGGGGACAAGAGGGACGACATCCATTCCTTGCAGGCCAAGCTTAGCTCTCCTCGCCCCCCTCTCTTTGCATCGTCTGGTATCCCTAGTATCTACTCCTAGGATTCTAGAGCTTCACAACTGCTACATCCTCCTTGTCTATGTTGCTTCACATCGAAACGAAAGGAATCTAAACTTGCAAAAGCTGGTCATCAACCCCTTCGCACTCCCGGTCATCTCATCATCTGTGGAATCCATCCAAAGGTCCCTCCTGGTCCCTCCTGGTCCCTCCTGGTCCCTCCGTCGCTGCAGACCTCCGCCCCCCGAAGCAGGTCGCATGCGCCGAGGCACCTTCTTGCGCTTCTTCTTCAATTTGCGCTCCTGGTTTCACGTGGGTTTCACCACGTGGTGAAACCGCTCACCCTGTGGACCGCCGGTAGCCACGCGTCACATGGGACCGGGCACTGCGTGTTCTCGTGTCGCCTCCGTCGATGCCTTTAAGCACTAGTCGTCGACCCGTCTCTCCTTCTTGTCGCCCTTCTTTTTCCTTTTCTTGCTTGAAGGCTCCTTCACATGAAGCGTGACACACTGAAGCGGTGCACAGTCCATTGGGCAGCTCCTTCGGTCCATGAACCCTCAACCAAGCCATGAAACACACCAGCCTTTCAACACCCAAAACAATGTGCAGCAACCATTGAAAGCAACAGACAAATTACACAAAATTATACTATATACCAGGGCCCCCTGTTTGGGGTGTCTTATTATAGCTCCTTAGAGGTTAAGGGGTATCCATTAACCACCCCTTAGGGGCCCTGGTGTATGATGCCAATGTTGATCCCCTACTTATGGATCATGTTCTACTTCTGTCCTCCTGATTGGCTTCCGCCAAGAGGTCATTCACATCCAGCTCTGGCGCTTCTTCCTCACTTTCAGGAGCAAGCTCAGTGGCCACTTCCTCCTCCTCATCCTCAGCCTTTGTGTCTTCCTGTTGTTCTTCTTTTTTCTCCTGGCCATCTCGCTCTTTTTGATCCAGGGCTCAAAGAGGCATACCCTTGCAGGTTTCATGGCGGAAAATCTGTGAAAACCCATAAGAAAAAAGAGAGGAGCGTGCGAATTATCCCGGTAATATGATGCTTTCTATTCCTACCAGGAAGGTATGGTTTTTCATCTCTTCCTGGGAAACCAGTCCCAACCAGAAACAAATGGATGTTTCCCCAGTCCCAGCCATTTCCTATGTAAAGGATTTCAAGCTGGCGCCATATTAGATTCAAACCAGACTTGTTTCTGATTGGGACTGGGTTTCCAGGTTGTGATCGAATTTTCCCCCTGTCCCTCCATTCTCCTCAGAGCCGGAACGTGACTTCGAGGCCTTGCGGGCTGCGGAGGGCGGACGTCTGAGAGGTCGGTCTTCGACTCGTCGGCACCACGGGTGTGTCCGAAGACACGTCGACGCGTGGTTTTGCAGAGAAAAAACCAGGGATCCACCGGAGATGACATAGGGAAGTGCTTTACCTTAGTTGCCTGGCACTCGATCCTTTCGTTACGGTCCGGTGTTTTGTCCGGTGGGAGATGGTGACAACGAGATGACAAGCTGAGCTTCTATTCGATGTGTGGTGACTCCTGTGGCCCGGGAAAAGACAATGGGGTCGCCCGGTCCAGGTGTGAAGCACAAGTGGCACTCGATGTTCTTGCCGGTCACCCCCATCAGAAACCTCACCTCTGGCCATGACTGTTGTCCAGCAAGCAATATGATGTTCATCCAAAAAATGGTTCTAGCAAAGGTGTTCATGTGGAAACGCGAGGTTCCTGAGAGGGCTATGTCTTGTCATGACAGAGCCTGCCATATCGCTTGTGAAACCCAATAGACTATGTGTTTTTGGTCTGGCATTGAAGCATCCAAATGTCCCTACATCCATCCTGAAAGAGGGTTTCGGCCATTCTCCCTACTCAAGTATGTCTAGAGTCTAGACCAATTGCTTGTCAGTTTGTCAAGGTGATTCTCTACCCCATCTGCCGATCCACTACCCTCAACTCCACCCCAAATCGCCAGAAATCTACTCCACGTGGATTCGGTGCCTTGGTTCTTCTCCGCCTCACTTTCCGCTTTCTCCTCTTCAAGTCTCCCACATCCTCTCGCCGCTCGACGGCCTGGCACCATGCCATTCAGTGGGAGCGAGCGCGGTGCGGCGCAGGGCGGGGATCAAGATCAAGACTAGTGACTTCTCATGTGTCCCACGTTCGACCAGTTTCTCAACTCTCCGAACTCTCCACATTCGGCATCCCACCTCCTTCTGCTCAGGCACGCCTGGAAGCGCAGGATAGTGGAGCTATGTCCGGTCCCAAAAATGAGAATCCAAGAGAAATCCGGAGAAGAAAAACTGATTTGAAGTATAAAACAATTAATTTTTGAATGTGAATGAGATGGGGTTGCTCCACTTCTTTACCTCGACCATCCTCGACTTCCACCAGATGTGCACGGATGAAAGATAAGCCGAAAGAACATGGTTTTCAAGCAGAAAAAGGTGAAAAGAGGACACCAAACTTCAAACTTCCACTGAAAGAGCAGCTTCTCATCTGATGTGGAGCTCCATGGCTCAGTACGTCACAGCATCGAGTCCCCGGGCTCAGTGGCTTCGCGCGGGTCTTGGGTCTGGGCGCGCCTGATCCGTAAAACAAAAGATCTAACGGAAGACAGTGGTGCACAGGAGTGTACCTACTCAGTCCAAAACACAAGCACACACCCCAAAAATGGACCTCCCAACTTCGAGTTTGGGGGATCGAGGGAAACCAACCGCTCGGAGAACGGAAAACGAAGGCGGCCTTTGCGGCTTGGGGAGCTGAAGCCCCAGCCCCGCATGGCGGCATCGCCGCGACTTCCGCCCCGAAGAGTTCGTGTTGGGTCGTGGTGGTTTCTTTCGGACCCTCCGGTAAACTGGGCCTGGTGTGGTCGTTGTTTTGGTGGTTTTTCTTCAGGAAGACTGGGAGGGATTGCTCGTTGATTCTGCAAAGGATGGACGGAATTGGGTGTTGAGTTTACAAGTTCAGAGGCTGATTAGAGTACTCAATCAAGAGCCACTACCATGTTTGTTGAGTCCATGACCGAGGTGCTTGCTTTCAAAAACTGGTGCTCCTCGTGACATGCCAAAATCAGCGTTTTTTCAATTCAGCACTTCTCGTGGATGCTCGCGTCTCGCCCGTCGAGCCGACACAGCTGACAGACCGCCGTTGGTCGCGCTGCTCTGTTCGACGCTGCGGAGCGGTCCAAAGCCAGCGCGACGCGGAAGACGGTGTGGCGGGATGACGGTGATCGGTGATCGGTGATGTAGCACGTGCTATGAGAAGCACATGATGAATCCAAGTGGAGAAATCAAAGAATCAAGTTGGCTCATGTCGTCACTAGAATCACTAGAAGACCTTTTCTTGCTTGTCCAACGGGCGATGTTGTTTGTTGTCTCAACTTCCTTCCAAATCACTTCGTATACGTATATTGCTACCATGGAAACATCGGTTTGACATGACATGTCTCATCTAGCTGACCGCATTGCGAGATCGGAGCTTCCTTTTGGCGACCGGCGGAGAGGCGTGCGTCGAGATGGGAGAAGCGACGACCTGGTCGGGACCTGGGTCGCTATTGGAGTCGGATTGTTCGTTCAATCTAAAGAAGTGCCAAAAAAAACACTGGGTGACCTGAGTTCAAAAGAACAAACTCTGCTTCAAGTTCGCTGCAGAGGGTTGGATGAAGGAAGGAAACGTCTGAAGACCTGATGTGGTCTTCAGCTTCAAAAAAAGCACAGAGGTCTTCAGCTTTTTCACCAACCGGAAGGGGGAGCTTTCATCGAACTGCACACCCTTGCGGTTTCTGGGAAGGGGTGAGAGTTCAGTGGTTTGCGAGAAGCTTTGCGGCTTGAATCCCAAGGGCAGTCTGGTCATATGGGGAGTCCCATCTACCTTGAGACGAATTCTACTTCAAGTCTGTCTTTCTCCCATCTCATGTTTTGTCATGCGTTCTCTTCGAACACCAGGGCGGCATGTATCTGCACATCTCTGCACACCCTGCGCATCATCGGCTCAGGCCCCGCTGCGGATCGACTCCTGACTCCCGCGAAGCTGCGACGCATCGAAGCTCCGCAGCGCGCTGTGCGCGCGGGGTGTGGCGGGGGTTCTTGCGGGTCCTGTTGCGGGTTCTTAGGATCTCTCTTGCGGGTTCTTTGGGTTCTTTGGTAAGAGAGATCCGATTCAAAAGTATTCCAACATTTTTTAGCCAGCCACGTGCACGTGGAAGCTGCGAAGGCCTGGACGAGGCGCTGAAAGTCGCGGTCGGACCTCGAAAAGAAGCAGAGCCGGAAGTGGCTTGCGGTGGCTTTTTGTGAGAAGAAGGAACCAGACGCTCCAAACAGCCCTTGACCATAGGGATTTGAGGGTCCAGACCCCTCCATATGAGGGTCCGACCCCTGCATATGAGGGTCCAAGAGCGTCTCGGGAACAAGAAAACAACAGAAAACATCAGACTTCCATGCAGGCGATACAGTCCTTCTCCATCCATGTCCTGTTCATGGCGTTGAAATAGGGGTTTAGAATGGTGCAGGTGTTTTTAAGCTCCGCGTGAAGTTCGTCGGAATCCCTTCGTGTGATTGAAATATCCCAGACACTCCATGTATCGAGTATTTACCTACCTTGACCCCTGAAACCACACCAATAGTACATGGAGTGTCTGGGTATGGACCAGTGAAACAACTGAGTCCCCTGCAATCGCTGCGCCCAGGAAGGTGTCGGAAGCTGAATCTGGCGGGTTCCAGTCGATGTACAGATCCCTCATCTTGGGCTTTCGCATCCACTACGAAGCATCTACCCTCACTACTTATCTCACCACACCGTGTCATGTCTCGAATGCGTCTGCGCCCGAAGCGTCCGAAGCCTCACCAGCGGTCTGCGCCTTCTCCGCATCGCGGACCGTCCGAAGCCGACGTCGGAGTCCGGGGTGGACCCGAAGCCGAAGCCGACCGGGTCGGAGAAGGGGTCGCGACCGGTCGGCCTGCTGCATGGTCTCTTTGATGAGCTGGACTTCGTCCCGCGAAAGCAACTTCGCCTGGTTCTGGGGGTAGATCGGTGAGGGTATTTGTGTGGATATCTGTTTGTTTATTTGGAGGTGTGACACCTCAACGAGGTGCACTGTGTTGACGCCTTGCCATGCTCTCCTCTGGCTGTGGGGTAGAGAGCAAAATCGCTTGCTTCCATGGATGCTTCTTTATCAACAATGCTCCAGTCACGGCTTTGATCCCATGATCAAGAGGGCAAGATCAGATCCAAAAGGCATGGAGATCCATTGACCCAGGGTGTGTGGGAGAACTCTTGATGGGAGTTCAATCAAACATGTTAACTCGTGTTGGCTTTTCGGCTTCCCTTACACTGCAAGAGGCTCTGGCCTGCAAGAGGCTCATCTCTGGGGGTGCCGGTAGCGCCTTATAAGTAAACGAGAAGGAGAGACGGAGAAGAACAGCAAGAATAGCATGCAGCATGAACATGAACTCTGAGAACATGAATTGAACAACCATGTCTTAATCGTACCCGATTGCCTCAGACAGGATACCGGTTACCAGTACTATGATTCCTGCAAATATCGGATATGGACAGATTCTACATGAGGCCTTTCTTCTGCCAATGACCTATGGAGGTGGAGACCAACTAGCATCATCCCGTAAAAAAGGACAATCGGGGCCTCTGTCCTTCCCCACGGCTCCGCCTCTTGTTTTGCTGCCTTCCATCTGACGTCGCTGCGTTCACCCGAGGGCCCCAGCCGGGTTACTGTCGCCGAAGTCCGCGAAGCTCTCCAACTGGGCGGGGCCACACGGGAAGGGTCGCCCCCGTGGAGAAAAACCTGAAATTGTAAGACATAAAGCATCTTGGGGGAACGAGATCTGCTGAACCTCTGAAAGCTCTACATGTGTTGAAAAAATAAAATAACGAAAACGTGTGACACTGCTCCACTGCAATGAACATCAAACCTTCCACCTACACGTCGACGTCGAAAAAATAAAAGGGTACAACGCATCAGCTCAACGATTTCTGAACCTGTGGGAACCTTCCGTACTTATATAATACATATGACCAGGTTTGTTTTTGCAGCTCAACCTGGTGTTGGGCCTTTTTTGTCCTTTTCGGCAGGCCTCCGACTCAGGTGCGGCGGTGCTGTTCGCCCACACATCCTGAAGAGTCAAGACGGCAGTGCTGAGATTAACCGGATGAGGATTGGATAAAGGTAGTAACAAGAAGCTACTAGTAATAAGTGCCACGCTACTAGGAACAAGTGCATCGCTACTAGTCACAAGTGCCTTACTAGTAGTAACAATAAGAATTTAATTAGAATTGTAAACCTGGATTGAGGCTGCAAAACCAGGTGTCAATGCTTCTCAATAAGCTGGACAACTCAGGTGTGACGGCCATAAGGCGGAAGTCAAAGCCATTCCAAAAAGGGAAAGTCCCCCCAACTTGAGACCCCCTTATTTGCCATGTGCGTTCTTTGTTTCTGAAACCGTTCTTTCTCCTTTCTTTTGCTCTGTCTTTCCTTCCTTCCTTTCCTTTCCTTTCCTTTCCTTTCCTTCCATTCCTTCCATTCCTTCCTTCCTTCTATCCTTCTATATCGACCTGTACTTTTCTTCAAGCCGCAGCTCCAAGTCAACGGTCGGTCTTGGTGGACAGTCTTGGAACGGCGTTTGTTGTCGCCCCCCGAACGGGTAGGATGAGGGTCAAATGGCTTCAGAGCTGAAGCACCTTGTTCGTCATTACCCCAGATCTTGTTCGCTATCCGGAAGTCCTCTTCATGGAAAGCCAAGTTTTTATCCAGTTCTTGAGGTTCAACCTTCACTGCACGCACCCAGGCCTCGCCAGTTTGAAAGTTGCCCCAGTCTGGCCACAGCTTCGGTCGCAGGCAACAGTTCATGGTAGGTCCCGTTTTCTATATGTCAATTGCTGGCACATGTTGGATGCACTATGTTGCACTCCAAGCAAAGGGTCTCCCAAGTTAACTCTGGGACTCGGTGGGGGTCTGAAGAGCTGCACGACTCTTGCCACAAAGAGACAAAGTCCGGACGATGCACCCGAATCGGCCACCACGTTGTCCTGCCTGAATCACCTGCGGGCACCTGCCAGAAATTGAAATCGTGATAGATCATAATCGGATCATTTGTCGTGCGCCCCTCTCCTCAATACGTGGAGAGTAGGCCGCCAGGGCCTACTTTTCTGTCGTTGGGAGATTGTTCTCTGCAGAGTCACGTGGGTGACGCCTCCTCATCTTCGTCACTGCCTGGGTGCCGCTCCAGATGAGAGCCGAAGGGGTGACTGGCAAGTACATAATTCTCACCTGCGAGGTCTTCGGCTTTTACAAGCAGCCTAGAGGACCATCTGACCCATGCAAACACCTAGCTCTCATGAACAAACCCCTGAAGAACGAAGCAGCTCAGTGACAGCCCAACTGCTGTGCGCGCGCCTCCATCGTCGGAGCCTAGAGCTGCATATCCGGCTGCGCCCAGGTCCTCCTCCTCCCGAGAGAAACCCAAGAACACCGCGAAGCAACGACGGACAATCATGACGCGTGATATTTGACTTTGGAGTCAGATGTGGAACGAAGCGTCCCAGTTGGGGTGCGGTTGGTGTTTGGTCCGGAGGACACGTACTTACTAGCTTCTGGACTCCAACCTGAATGCCTTTGAGCCATTTGGAAGCCGTTGGAGCCGCTCACCTCGCACCCCTTCGAGTCTTCGACGGATCCGCTCACAGCGCCTCGTCCACGTCTCGCCTCAGTGACGAAAGGATGGGAGCTGAAAGGCCTTTTTGTGTGGTTTGAGAAGTCTAATCCAATGCCATACCTCCAAGATACTCTGAACATACTCCAGGTGCTCCTGGCCTTACTACTAGGAGCAAAAGACGCTACTAGGAACAAGGGCATCGCCACGAACGGAGCAAGGATGCTACTAGGGGCTGCTGGCCTTACTACTAGGAACAAGAACAGGAACAAGGGCCTCCTTTCATCTCGTCTTCCAGATTCTTCCAGAGCTGCCTCTGCACTCCCTGACACTGGTCCTGCAGGGTTCCAGGCTCCGCCGCTAGGGTGCGTTGGTAGTCGGCCTGGCAGCAACTCGTTCGTCGGACGGTCAGGTAGATCGGTCGCACATCTGTCCTGCTACGGCACGAGTCTTATAAGTCTTGAGTAAGCACGCCTGGACGCCTGAAGGCCACATGCTGCGCCCACGCAGAGCTTTTGTTCTCACCTGGTCTGCTCCCTACCACCTGCACGGCACCTGAGTCCCTCCCGCTGCAACCTCCATCATCTCCAGGCTGCGGAAGAGGCGCTCCGCCACCTCATCGGTGATCTCGGGCAACGCCGACCCGGCCACGCCTGCGGGTGTGGACCCGGGTGTTCAAACGCCCCACCCTGGTTGACCCCGTTCCTCATCCTTCCTATACGGGGTGTCAACCTTGCATGGTGGATTTGACCCACACCCACATGTTTGGGGGCTGGAATCTAAGTGGTGCAGGTGGATGAGGTTCATGCTGAATGACGGGGGGTGAAAAGGTGAGGATTGGAGGCAAAATGGGAACTGAATGGAACCGATCGTCCAACGAAAAGAGCGGAAAAAGAATCGGTCTGCCTTCACAGAAGGTGGCACTCTAGGAAGCATTCTAGGAAGCCGAGTTGCCACACCCGAAGTGAAGCTTCTAGTGCCAGGTGATACTTAGATGAACCGCAAGAGATTGGATCATCTTTGCCCTATTGGTCCCTATTGGTCGCTAAGTTGAAACATAAAGTGCAGTGAATCAACCCTGATCCAAGTGCAGTTCCAACTGGTTACCCAGCGCGGTTCCAACCAATCCTCCAACCGGAGCGAAGTTGTCGCCCGCCATGGGGCGAACTAGCGCTAAGATGTGAACTAGCGTTTTCTTTACTCTGAATCTGTCCAAACTCGAAGTGCTAAGTTGTCACTGATTGAAAGCAAATAATTTTCCAGAGGATCTTGGATTGGAGGGTTTTTCAGCAATTGTGATACTTGACGAATGCAATGGGCCAGAGGCTCGCGACGCGAGTTCATCAGCCTCACTGACAAAACGCGCCAGCCTTGCTTGGCCAAATCCCGATCGCGTGAGCTCTAACTCCCCCATCACACGGGTGATCCCACGACAAGCTTGCCCGTCCTGATTTGAAGGTACGCGACCGTTAAAGAAAGAGAATGCGTCTGGCAAAAACCATCCAAAACCTATAAAGGGTTGACCTCACCAGTCTGGTGTGACAGAAGGTGCTTAGAGGGGCACTCGTGGATGCTCATCTGCATGCAGGTTCCGTAGTAGTTTGTGTGCAATTCTCATCGGTCCTGGCCATTCTCTCCTGTTCAACAGGTGCGGCTCACCTATACTCCACAACTCTCCAATACTTTTGGCTCTCGCCCTTCAATAGGGAGACCAGTTGTCGGAGCAACTGATCCCATGATGGCAGCAACTCCAATTTACTTCTGAGAAGGTCTCTTAAACAACTGGTTGCTGTTCCAACAAAGAAAATGCTTTGGCTGGTTTTTGGCCGAACAATCCACCTTGCATGATTGGAAGCCTCCTTGGGAGAAAAAAAGAACTTCCCACAAGGCAAGCGTCCTTGCTTTTATGGCGAACATGACTTTCTGTGAAACTCCAGTGTCCCCCTTTAAGCCTTCCAAGAGGTGCTAATCTTCAGCAAGATAGGCTGAAGCCCTTTTGCAGGTCGGCATCGAATCGAGTAATTTGGAGCCACTGCAGCTATGAACACAGCGGCTGATCCCATTCGGGATAGCCCGAAGCCCCGGGTCCTGGCGGAGTTCAGATGGAGCAAGAAGACGTTGACCAGATCGAGGGAAAGAGGGAAGCCCCTGAAATGTTGCTCGGTATGAAGTGGTTCATCTCAGCTTTGGAACATTACAGTTAGTTTAATGTACATGATAACTTGATAACACCATAGCTCCCTTTCTCACTACCCTCCCAAAAGTCTCGCCTTTGCTTGTGTGACGATCTAAAACTTCACCAGGCGAAGTAACCCCGCCAGACGCGAGCGGCCGGCCGGGACCCTCAGGCGTTCCAGTCGATGATTCGAAAGTTACAGGGCCACTTCACAAAGGTCGTCCTGGCATCGGAGACCCCGGTCACGGGTCTCCGGTCACGCACAGTCGGCTGCCGTTTTGGGATGGTCGGACTGGACTAGAAAAGCGAAGAAAGCGAAGAAAGCGAAGGAGCAAGTGGCTGAGTTCCAAAAAATGCGTCATCGAGTCATTGAGATGTGGGTTTACACGATGGTACCCACTCGCAGACTGCAGAATTGTACTAAGGGTCATGCTGCTACTCGAGACCCAAAATGCTGTGAACCTCATGCAAGTAGAGGCCATGACCCGACCGCTTACCGACTGCCCGAAGGTTTTGGCAAAAAAATGTCACGTTGACCAGCAGGAGTTCATTCAGTTCAAAGAGGAAAAACAGGGGACAGACTCAAGTTCACTCAGTGCCTGCCTGCTAGCTGCTAGTCACTGTTCCTTTTCGCTTCAGAGCAAGCTTTCAACGTTGACGGACGGGTTACTACAACGTTGCAGCTGTAGGCTCAAGTACCGCGTTGAGCAAAAAATGGAAGTATTCCATCCTTTCCATGTGGATGTCTGCCCTTCAGCCTGTTCGTGAGCTCAAATGGCCCAGGGCAATCGTCCTGCCCGAGGTGAAGGTTGAGCTACGGTTCAGTGATGTCTCAACTTGGCAAGGGACCCCAACTTCGAGACACAGCGAACTGAAACGATCGATGCCAGGAACAAGGACGCTACTAGGGGCTCCTGGCCATACTACTAGGAACAAGAAGCTACGAACGGGGCTCCTGGCATCGCTACTAGGAGCAAGGACGCTACTAGGGGCATAATGCGTTTCTCCCAAAAGTGACCAAGAAGAGGTCAGCGGTCCTCTTGGTCTTCAAAACGGTGTTCACCCGGAAAAGAGACACATGACAATGTCCCAACTTCCTCTGGGTCTCTTGCCGGAGTCGTCGTTCTATCGTCCTGTATCAATTCCACGGTGCGGCATAAGGTTGGTGAGACACCAACACCACACCTGGGCAGTGCGCGGGGAAATGGACAGAATCGGTGTTTTTTTTGGCGCTGGAGGTCGAAAGCCTTTAATCCAAAGCGCCATCCAAGGGTTTTCAACTCCGAAGTATTATCTCACCGGCTGAAATCCAGACCTCGAAACCCCGAGGTTAAATGCACCAAGATTGCTCGGATTTCGAGGGACTCCTTGGCGACCGACCCCAGAAGAACTACCCGAGGCCAGCAATGGATCTCACTTTTCAGTGGTGGCCAGACGCCAGAGGCCTCTTTGACTATGGGCGGAGCACTGGCACAGCATGAAGAAGTTGGTTTGCAATGGCAAATGTCATTTTTCGTTGGTCGCGTGGTAGGAAGAAACAGAGAACTCTACAAAGCTTCAGCTCTTGGGGCATTCTCATTCTTTCAGTAGCAAATCAACAACACTTCAAGATACTTCACTCCCATTTTCAGGATGAACAAAATCACTTCAAAAGAAAATAGCTCGGCCAACCAAAAACACCACACCTCTCTCTCAGCCGTCCCCACACCACACCTCTCAGCCGGCACGGACGCCGTGATCTCCCCGTCTTCCCCGTTTCGCCCAGCGGCTCGGTGACCGGGAAGTCCGGGACATCCACTCGGTCGCAGCAGTCCTGCGGCCGCACGACCGGACGACCGGCCGGACGACCGGCACGTTCGGTGCCGTTGGCGAGGGGTTGGGACACCAAAGACCAAGACATGACCAAGACATGACCAAGACATGACCAAGACATGACTGACATGACCATCTAATCCATCTAAGACATTCTAAGACCTCATGGAATCGAATAGATTGATCCTGCTTCGAAACTGCAGGTCCAGACCTTCTGTGGCTTCAGCACCTGCTCTTGCAGCAGCTAGCACCCGCCTCGAAGTTCACGCCGCAGGACAAGGGATCTGCGAAGAGGTGGTTGTGCTTGATGAACATGGGACAGCTCCTGGCGCTCATTGGTTCGCCAAAACCCAAAAACAGACTCAACATGTTCCACGAACTGGAGGGAGCGGTCCAGTTTTGGGGTGGCTGTACGCCTAGGGCCTGGTCTCTGAAAATCTGACGTACTTCTCAGCCCGAGAAGTACGTCGCATCTCTTTCAGCCCGAGAATCGCCCGTTGTTTCAGCAGCACGTCTCGCGGACATGTCCTCGGTCTCCCGAGGACGGGGGGTCTCCTGTCGACGGAGCGGACGCCATCGTTGAGGACCGTCCCGTTGTGATACCAGAACCGCATGCTGTGCCTCAGTCGAGTCGGAGGGGACGAAGAACCCGACTAAAGCCGGAGATGAAAAATGGAGGGGGGGTGCTTAGTTCTATGCTTAGTTCTATGCTGGGGGTGAGTAAAAATGGACAACTTGGTGTGGTTCGTTCTCTTTTGACATTGAAGTCAACTCCAAAGTTCAGGTGGCACATCCTAGCTTGCCAAACCGGGTTCTCTCTACCCGGTAGACTCTACCTGCTCCATCATGCTCCAGCGAGCCCCGTGCCACTCTGACTGTAGATCTCTGAGTGTTCCGGCCCTCCCCACACACGCTCCAACTCTGTGACCCACCAGCTGCGAGGCCGAGGGTCCACCTGAAGAATGTACCAGCACAAGCAAAAAGGCCATCACTATATATCATCATTACGTCAGGAATTGCGCGCTGATACATAACTATGGGTTTGAAGTTTGGAAAAAAAAAAAGTAAAGACACGATCTAGGGGACAAAAGAGCGGCCATCTTCGCAAATTGGCTGGGGTACTGGTGGCCAAAGTTCGTCACTTGCTACCACAAGGAAAGCCATGCGCTGCTCTGCTTTTCTGCTTCTGCAGCTCTTTACTTCATATTCTATCGAAGAATCCTCTTCACAGTCACGCGCCCTTCACACGCGCCTTACGAACCTTAGCGTCGGTCTGGAGGTAGAAGGCGAAATTGTAGGGCATCACGGTGCCATTGGCCTCCACCAAAACGTCTCGTGGCTGGGCCGAACGGCACTGCAAGAGACCGAAGCATGGCTTCAGCGAGAAAATCATCTCAGGCATCACTCTCTTGAAGATTGACAAGTGGTCTGAACATTGAGTGGGCACTCGCACCAATTGGCAGGCACCCAATGCTTGATGGGCACTCCAAGCGCTATCCTTTCAGTCCAAGATCCGAGAGGTCTTCTTACAACAATAGAACATAATAGAACTAGCTAGAAGCTGGGGTCATAGGCTCTCAGCTGAGATTTTTGATCTGTCCCCCATTCTCCGCGTCCGGTCACAGGATGCCGTGGGACCACGGTCCGCCTCTAAAACCTTGGTGATGTGCTCCCGCAGTGTACCAATCTGGCGTGAAGATGATCGACCCAATCCATGCAATCCAATGGCAATCCATGCAGCGCGTCCGGTCAGTTCGAGGCTGGGAACCTTTTTCTCATCTTCGATTTGAGTGGTGGTCATGAGGTGGGTGGTCATCTTCCATGCCGTGAGTTGCAAGGGCTTCTGTAAGGACCTGGGTCGTGAACCCCCAGATGTGGAAGCAAAAACTTCCCGATGGAGTGGACATGGGATGACCCCAAAAGGAGATAAAAGTTTTACGCTGCAGGTTCCACCATGTTTGCATGGAAAGAACTTGGGGCTCGGACTCGCCGGACGACAATCTCCCATCATTGCTACTAGTAATGCCAGGAGCTACTCGTAGCGTCCTTGCGACAGGGCCTCCAACCTAATAACGATGGCCTTTTGCTAGTGCTGCTAGTGGCTTCTTGTTACTAGCAGATCCGAAGAGCTCTTGCAAATTGAAGTCAACCTGGGATGATTCCCCAGATTCGCAACCCCTTCGTCTGTATCCTCCTTTGATCCCTTCACCGTCCGGACGGTCTCAGACGACGCCGATGACATTCGTTGTGGCGCACGTACGGCACGTAGGCGGGCTCCATCGATGCCAGGGTGAAGAAGTCCAGCCTTGAGGCCATCGAATCGGATCAGCCAAGGCTGGATATGAATGGTCGGGTCATGTTCAAACGAAGCAGCGAGCGAGCGCAGGTGACGGGGGAGAGATCGTTCGATGGCCTGATTCCCGAGTTCATACTCTGCTCCTGTTACCCGGCGTTTTCACAGGAGCCCGCACGCAGCTTTCTTCCGCGAGGGGATCTGCAGATGCGGCAGAAGGAGATTGTAGTGATCAGATGGTGCGGTAGGGGGAAAATATGAGAAAATCCATGAAGTTGGAGATGTCCCAAAACGGATAAACATCGTCAATCTGGATCACATCATCTTCTGAGGTCGCGCAATGTTGGCCGTCAAAAGGACTTAGAGGGCCAAACTCCAACAAAAGTGGTTCAGCGGCCTGATTTGGTGTGAATTGCTACTGGGTGAGCATCAAATTTGTTGGCTTCATCGAGATCAAGCTAACTTAGATCGTGCTCATGGCAGGTCTCTTTGAGGAGTACCATGACATTTCCCTGGAATGGAGCTAGAGATTGGAATCTAAAGCGAGAAAACAAACATGCTGCAAACCCTGCAGCAGTTGCCCTATCTCTCTCTCTCTCTCTTCAAAAACAAGATCCTCGAAGTCTGAATGAAAGTGCAAACGCTTGGCAAAGTTTCTTCAACGTTGCCTCATCCAGCACACCTGCACCACCTTCAGACTGTACACATCAAATCTACTTCTTGGATCAACCCACCCACCCTCAAGGAGGGCACTGGATTGTGAAAGGTCTCTGGAAGAGGCGGCTGACCCTTGAGGAAGAAGGTGGCCTCCATTCGAACGTCGGCCACAAGGGTGCACTATGGCTCCAATGCAATCCCCCCCGGACCCCCGGATAGAGATTCCTGCCTGGCAGACCTTAAAGATTCCGTTGTCAACTGTAAGGTGATCTTTTAAGCCAAACAAGTCCAAAACCAAGTTCTATGGGCTGTGGAAAATTAAGTAGATATGCAAGGGCTTAAAAACTGTAAAACATCGTGAAAAATGACCTAAAACCGTGAGTTATGTTTGGTTGGAAAATGTATGGTCACCGGGAACTGTGTCATATCTACAGGTTGAATCGAATATAGCCTTCCTCACCTCTGTCCCATGCTTGGACACTCAATATTTGACCGTGGGCGAGGTAACAAGAAGCGATGGCCTCCAACCTACTAGCAATGGCCTCCAACCTAGTAGCGTCCTTGCTCCTAGTAGCGATGCCAGGAGCCCCTAGTAGCGATGCCAGGAGCCCCTAGTAGCTTCTTGGTCCTAGTAGTAAGGCCAGGAGCCCCTAGTAGTCCTTGCTCCTACTAGCAATGGCCTCCCTAGTAGAGCTGCGACCGAGTCCTTTATAGATCATTTGTATGGAGCGCGGTAACAGTCGCCAGTCTACCTCGCGCCTTGGTCGCTGTGACGTCGTGCAAGCGATAGAGTCTCGCCTTGAGACAGAGGGAGACAGAGGGAGTTCCGCGGGAGACTTCAGGAATAACCCAAAATCGGGGGAATGGGTCGTTGTTGCTTGTAAATCTTTGTTGTTTGATGTTGTTTGCTATCTTTAATTGTTTGTTGTTTGCTCTTTGTACATCTTAATGTCTTTGCTTTGTTTGTTCTCCTGCCGTGCCGACTTCGATGCCCAAGGCTCCGGCCACATAATCGTAGTAGGCGACACCCCGAATGATGGCCTCTCACGCGGGACGGCTGGACGGCACATCTGACGCAGGAAGATCCGAAAATCCTCGTTCGGCAGTCGGCACCATCGCATGCCATTGCTGCTGCTATTCCTACCGGTCTTCTTGTGAAAAAGCAACACGGAGTTGGATCGATCTTGTCTAGTCCTTCGTGAGGTCTGAGTCATGGGATGATTCTTCTCCCAAAAACTCCCACAGGAGTGCCTCAAGCAACACCGAAACGGGTCAAAGCGCTTTCATACCAAGTGTCTGTTAAATCAAAACAAATCCTGACACTCCATGTATCGCATGTTTACATACATTGACTCCTGAAACCTCCCAATGTAGGCAAATGTGAGTGTCTGAGAAAGAATAAGCAATATAGAAATCACAACGTACAAACATGTTTCATGCTGTTGGTCAATTCTGAGGGGAGAATTTGGAACAAGCGGATTAGACCCTTCACAACTTAAGTCGTTCACAAGTGCACGTGGACTACCACAAATGCAGACTCTTGATTCTTCAGGAAAGCTGCTTTGAGATGACAACACTCCTTTTGATCAGCAGCATCGCACCCGTCAAAACCCTCTGCCCCCCGTCCAAACGAATCGTTTGGGTTCAGCTCCTGCTGTGTCTTCACCGAGCGAGCCAGGTAGTGCCCGGTGTTGTACATCAGCGACCTCCAAACGATCACCGTCGTGAGGTCACGGCCACAGGAATCGTCAAACGATGCCAGGAGCCCCCGTTCGTAGCGTCCGATCGCTCCTAGTAGTACGGCCAGGAGCCCCCGATCGTAGCGTCCTTGTTCCTAATAGAGATGCCAGGAGCCAGTAGTAGCTTCCTTGCTCCTAGTAGAGCACCATAGATTCACTATCGTTCTTTACAGCACATGACTCATGACCAATTTTTGGTTGCTTCTTCTTCAGCCCGGCCAATGTTGAGAACATGGAGTTTTGTGTGAGAACAAATTACACGGTATTGGGAGACCCTGAAAGAAAATAGAAAAGGGCAGAAGATGGACTGCGCTGGTTTTCCGCTGCTGCGCCAGCATGAAAATTCACGCATCGGATCGGAAACATGTTGGAACCCTTCAGAACTCGGTTCCCAGATGAAACTGTCCAGTGGCATGCAAAAGCCGCTCGTGAGCCGCTCTCAACGGCCAAATTGGATACAAATTCCACACTTTCACAGGACACACTTACACATCTAGCATCTAGCTGGTGAATTATCATATGATGTACAATGTACAACCGAAAATCCCTAGCTATTCATAGCTCACAAAACGCAAAAAGAAATGCGAAAAAAAAGAAAGAATACATATGCAACTCACACATCTCCGTCCCGAAACTCCCCCCTTTTCTTGAGTCTCCGCACTCCCACCCCATGGCTGTGCCGATGCCGGGAATGCCGATCTGGAGTGGCATGCCGATCAGCTTCTCCGATGGACGGTGCTCGGAGTGGGAAAACTGGAGGAAGGTGATCGGTGTGGGAATCATACTCATCCCCTAAAAAACTGAAAGAGAAGAGAAAAATGATGATAGATGATAACTGAACATCCAGCCGGAGTCCATTCTATAAACGTTCTCTGCAAGCTTTGGTGGATGCTTCAAACGAGGAGGTCAACAAACCGACACTTGGATCGAGGACTTGGGGTTCGAAGTAGTAGTTCTGGATCAGGGATGTACACATGGAGGATCCAAATATGCACAAATAGGGTGCTGTGATGAGACTCTTGCTCCATCTTACACGGGATCTTTCAGCGAAATTGTGGCCACCTCAAAGGCAGTTCTTTGAATTCTGGAACAACAATTAGGCTTCCATCGCACGCCCGTGTCTTAATTTGCATGAATTTGCATCATCTTCTAGACTCTTAGAACCCCCCTTTTGGGGGTGCATCACTACTAGTAACAAGTGCATTACTACTTGTAGCAAGAAGCTGCGAACGTAGCTCCGGGCATCGCTACGAACGGAACACGTGCATAGTTTCCCAAGGCCCTGGATCACCCAGTTTCGACTGGCTGTGACTCGAGGGCAGCGCGAAGGCATATGGATGCCCAAATTGTTCCTGGGACCTCAAGGTGCTGAAGTCGGGCATTTGGGGGGTGCCTTTTTGGACAACAAGCAATCAGATTCAATTCTTCCCTCATCTAATAGCTCTTCAGATATCTGGAAGAAGCTGGAATCGGGAATCAGAAGCAAAAGGCGGTGTCTCTTCCGCCACTTGGATGTATTTCATACTTCTCAGCTGGCTTTGAATCATCCTCTGGTTGACGACTTGAAAATGACAAAGGTAAGCTATGTTGGCCCAGCAGAAAGCTACCCTCGCCCACCCTCAGGACCCAACGCTGTCTGCTGCAGGTCCGAGGAATTCGAGCGATAGTGGACCTGAGATGTTGAAGAATGAACGCTGGTCATTAGAGAAGCAAAAGAAAAAAGGAACATCGCGATTGGAGTCCAACCCAAACCTCTCTGGCTTTTCAGTCCAGGGATGTCCCGCGGCTGTTTTTTGGGGGGAGGCACTTGTTGGGCTTCCTGCGACACATCACCCCCCTGCACGCACGAAGACGAAGGCACCTGTTCCGCGAAGGTGTACGCCCATTGCCTCGGCGTAAAAAGGTGTTCCAATGCTTTCCCATCAATTTTTCTGACCAAATGCTCTTCTTTCCGAAGATGTTCTCCAACCAGTGCAGGTCACGCGGTTGGGACGGCAACAAAAAAAAGAAAGCTCATCCTTTACATAGTAACAAGAAGCTACGAACGTAGCTCCTGGCAGCCACTACTGGAACTAAGAAGCTACGAACGTTACAAGGGCATCGCTACGAGTAAGTAGCAAGAAGGGATCTCCATGAGACAAACCACATCTCCGCACACCGCGGAGAGGAAGCGAATCAGTCGGCGCCGAGATTTCGTCCGCCAACGCGACCCGACCGAGTCGCGGTCAGCGGGCGGCCCCGACGGCCAGCGAAATGGGAACGAGAGGCCCGAAATGGTAGGCTCCACAGAACTCCATGGTCTGAACCAGCCTCAGAGTTTCGGAACAAAGACTGAAGAAAGAACAAGAAGAGGACGTGACTGTGTGGTCATTTGTCACCTTCACCCGGGGGGGGAAGTCTGAGACCTAGTTATTCCAAGTACCTATAGTACATTTGTCCTAATGCATTCTTGTTTGCAGATGTTTGTAGTATATGAGGATCTCACACGAGTTTCAGATTGGCACATGTTCTGTTGTGCCCTTTTGAGGGCACAACTTGCCTCCGTATTTCTGAGCTCGACATCAGGTCTTCATGGAACTGGAGCTTCCGATCGGGTCCGGACTGGGCGCCGCGCGTGCGCGGCGCTTGCCACTCCCATGCAATGGTCGAGGCCACCACGATCTAAGGGGCAAACTAGTCTCTTCCGGAAAGATAGTGTTGTTCTCAAGTTGGCAGCAAAGCATGATCCTTGCTTGTCTCATGCGGTATGTCTTTACTTGGCATGCGCCAGTGCAGACATAGCCGGGATGCAACCGACGCAAGAACCATCAGGCACGACGTCGTAACACAGTTGTTGGTCAATATAGGCACTTGCAGTTGATCACAAGCCGTCCATGGTCTTTTTGGGTACACAAAAAGAAACGCTAAAGGAACGATTGGTTTGCACACCAAAAGGAACGCTGGGGTGAACACTGAGCTGGGGTGGACAGTTCTGTTCGCTTCTTCCGTGTTCCGACAGGAGTTCATGGCAAGACACGGTTACAGGCTGCGCTCATGTTCGATAGAATGTGGCTTCCCCGGCTTGCCCTGGGCACCCATGCCAAGAAGGAGGCATTGTAGAAACGGATGTGCTCCGCCATCAGCAAGGCCTCCGGGATCCGGGATGTTCCACCGAACGGGGCGACGGTCCGGGCCGATGACTCCGAACCGGACGGCTTCGGTGTGGCAGGCCTCTGATCGATTTCGATGAGTGTCGTAAGTCCTGACGATGTGGGCACGACGGTGTCGCAGGTGGCCCAATGACCGCGTGAGATTTCAGGGAGGAAGAAGACGTGTCACGCCATGTCACGCCATGTCACGGCACAAATCTCAAATCCCAAAATGCTGCACTTCTAAGAACTGGAAAAACAGGTTGGAGGCCATCGCTACTAGGGTGGAGGCCCATTATATTTAGGATCTGCAGGTTGGCCAGTCTGCAGCCTGCTCAGTTGAGTCACCCACTTCAGCAGAGCCCTGAAATCGGCACGATCCCAGGGAAACACCCTAACACGAAACGGAAAAACCTCGGAACTCCTGTTTTGCCGAAAACAATTTTTTGAATGCAAACTGGTATAAATTTTGTCAACACGGCATCTTCCCCTTTGAACACCCGCTCAAAGATATGGGGGTCATCTACTTCTCCTCTCCTTTGAGGGTTCCCCTCACTTGACACGCCACAAAGGTCCCTTTGTCGTAACGCAGAAAAAGGAGCCCAAAAGTTCGGGCGGCGCACGAAAGCTGCTTCCTCTCCCCTCTCCCTCTCCCTCCCCTACGGTAGTATGTCTTTGATCGCTACTAGTAGCAAGAAGCTGCTAGGTTGGAGGCCATCACTATTAGGGTGGAGGCCATCGCTAGTAATAACAAAGCTTTCGTTCGTATGTCTTTCCAGCTCCTGAGCCATTGGAGGGAGAAATCGAGGCGCCGGAAGACCGCCAAGACCAGTCCGGTTTCATCCCGGCGCCTGGGCACAGCGGCCGGCCGCGACCACGCCGACCAAAGCACTGGGGGATAGGGGAACTCCCAGTCCGTCTCGAGTGACCGAGTTCCCGGTCCTATGGGGAACAATACTAGGAGCAAGGACGCTACATGTGTATATATACATGTTGAAAAATATGTGTTTGGGGCGACCCTCGGTCGCTCTCTCCTGAGCAAGAGCTCGGATGAGGTGATCTTGCGCTTTGGATCGCATAGATTGTTCTTTTCCTTCAGCAGTATCCCGGTCGAGGTATTTTTGTTCCTTTTAGCACAGGGATTTGGCCAGATCAGCAATTCAGAGCCCGAAAAAAGGACGGTATTCTACACCCCGCCGGCCTCACGGCGCCGGTGTCTTTGTCTGGGTGTCGTGTGGGACGTGTGGGACTGAGCTGCCATGCCGGTAGATCACCTGGCGGTTCACCTGGAAGGAATGGTTCAGATCGCTCAATAGCGGAAATAGGGCAGCTGCATCAAGAACTCTTTTCTTGGCCTTCTCTGCTTGATGAATGCCTTTCCTACCAGAATGTGTTGGTCTGTAAGGTAAGAGACACACACCAAAACTGTCTTCATGGCCTCGATATGCGTGTAATCCGGAGCATTCCTGAGCAAAGCCATCAACCCACCGAGAAGCCAAAGACACTTCCAACACTGATTGCTGCGCAGATCGGCAGATCCGCACTTTGCAGGCCAGTTCTCTACCCACGTCCACGCCCACCGGTCCACGTCCGTCATCACATGGCTCGCCGAGGAACATCCCCATGCCACGCACCATGAAGTTCACCTTCTCCTGGGCGGCACTCAGCACGGTGTACCTGGGAAGAACGGCTGCCATTGCGCCGCACGGTGTCGATCCAAACGGAACTGGGACGGAGCTGGTGTGGAAGCTGGCACCGAGCAGTAGCTACTAGGTTGTTACTAGCAAGAATGCTGTGCTTTGACCATAGAAAGCTTCCTGACAGCACTCCCCTGCGCACGCGGTCTGCACTGGACTCCAGGCACTACACCCTGTGGGCAAACCCATTCCTGAGCAGAGGAGATTCAAGAGAATCGCCCCTTCCTGATTCCATTTCTGCTGGAGTCCATCGCTATTAGGTTGGAGGCGCATCATGTTCCCCTCAGAGGAAGTTTCGGATCAACGCTGCAAGATCTTTGAGCATCAGGCGAGCAGAGCTTCCACAAGCACGCACACGAAACTGTGCCTGACACAGGCACAGGATGGCACAGAGCAACATGACGGGACCATGCTGAACGACCATTCTATGACCCCTTTGCAACAGCACCATCGCCCAAGATTTGAAACTTGCGTTGTTTCAGGAATTCTAAACCCAAGGATTCCAAACCTGGTAGAAGGATTCAACTGTGAGATGTGCTTCGATGTCCCTTCGGCAACTCGACATGTCGGGCCAGCGCGAACACTCGGCTCCATCCCTTCGCACAGGCCGGCACCGCCGCGTGCGCGGTGTGCTTGGGCACCCATAACGTGTATGCGCGACCTCAACGAGCCGACGGGAGTTCAACCGGTGAAGTTGGCATTCGACCTCAACGGATCACTTCGAGTGAAAGCTCAGAACCCACATGAAAAAGGCTGCGCTGGAGGAAACTATAGGAGATTCTTCTCAAAATGCATGAGTTGAAAACCGCCAACATGAGACACAGTATCAATGACCCCGATTCACATCAGGTTCTAAAAGACACACCAAACCATCCAAAACCTCCTTTCGAGCCTTTCGAGTCAGACTTGGGTATGACTCAATGACCTGAAAGGCGATGACCAAGACCTCCTTGGCCCAAGAAAACGACGAGAAGCCGCTCGCCACGCCTACGCCCACGTAGCTCGTCTCCCAGAGATCCCAGTTGCCACCGCCAGGCCAGGTTTCGATCTGCGCGAACCGATGTCCATCGCACATCGCCAGGACGCTCGGGCGAGGCGGTCTGGAGGTCAAAGGGGGTCCGACATCGTCGATTCGGGGAGCAGTAGCTCCCCAACAAGCAGGAGCAGCTCCCCGATTCGGAGCCTCGTGACGGGAATGTGAAGCATGTCGTCTTCCGGTCAACTCGTCAAGTGCTACTAGCAAGTGCAAGAAGTTACTAGGAGCAAGGGCATCGCTACTAGTAACAAGGAGCTACTGTACCACAACCAGGTGCGGCCATTGACTGCCCCAGCACCTGCCTCTTGCTGATCAATGTCCGTCTCTCGGTACCTGGCCACGGCCACCAGTCAGTCCAATCCAAAGAGTTTGGAAAAAAGGAAAAAAACATAGAAAACATAGTACCATACCCGTTCATATTCCATAGGAGGGGTCGTGCACCCCATTCTATAGCTACAATCTCTGGAAAAAAACCATAGTACCGAGTTTTATCATGGCCCTGTATTGCACCTAACATCGTTTTGAATGACAAAAGTAACTTGAAATTGCTGAAGGTGCTGAAGAGCATCAACATTCAGGTCAGGATCAACTTGCCTTGTCCAAATCCATAGATGCCAAAATCGCACTTCATGATGAGCTAGCATATGTGTCATCCAAGTCCACAACATGAGGCAAGAAGTACTATTCTTGAGAGGTGATGCCGCAGCGCCGCAGCGATTGAGCCCGCAATCTTCTACACATGTTCAAATTTGATCACCTTGCTCAATGATGCTCTTCCATGCACCCCCCCATGCTCATCCTTTTTGAACAAACAAATCTCTCTCAAGGTCAAGATCGTTCTGTAAAAGAAGACACTTCCAACCCTCCGAAGTCTTCTCTCAAATGTCCAAACCAAATCGATCCAAACCGTCGTTCGCCTCAGAGATTCCAAGTCTGCGAAGCGCATCGGCGGCCCTAAAGGCCGACGCACCTGGCGGGGCTCCGAGGGACTCCCCAGCATGGCGTGACTCCCATCGCATGGCGTGAGGTCTGAGTCCAACGCATACGGTCCGAGTCCAACGTTCCGCCTGCGAAAAGGTCGAGTTGTTTCTGTGAAACCGTCCCGTCAGAACCGGGAAGTAGGAAGACTCTGTGTCTTTTTTCAGAGGCTCGCTGCTGGTGGACTTCGTGGAGACCGAGCTCGCTGTCTGTCCAAAGTCTCTGTTCAAAGCCCCGCCTCCAACTCGTAGCGGTCGACGGCACACCAGGGGTTCCACTGGGGCCGTGGTGCGATGGGGCACAGAAAACCACTGGTCTTCGGAAAATGGTCGGGTGCCATGCCATCCGTTTGGTCTTTGTTCAGGTTGTGTAAAAGGAATCGTGGGCAACTCTGGTATCATCTGCAACACATGTTGGGCGTGTACTTATGTCGCTTGACTATAGAGTGTAACGACAGAGGGCAGCCCAAGGGACGATCGACGCGGTGACTCACCTTCACGACGGCCATGACTTCAGACGTTCGACCCATGGCACGTCTGTGGTGTTCGCCTCGAAGGCAGACGGAACGAACGCCCGGTTCAGTTCGACAGAACGGTTCAGTCCGGCCGAGCACCCACACCCCTGGCGTCCAGGTCACTGTGATGCTTCCCCTGTTTCAGGCTGCGCAAACGGAGAGAAGAAAGGAATGTGAACAGAGGGCGATGTTTCCGTTGGTGGGCAAACAGAGGCCTAGAGGCCTGAACGATGCAACAATAGATAATTGGAGCAAATTGATAAGCCTTTGGAAGCAATGAAGAGACACACATTTGCCAGATTGATCTTCAGGATCATTGGTTTGCTGTTACATGTCGCCGGTTTGGGGTAACCCATCCACTCCCCCATCCCACTGGTTTGGGGTAACCCTCGTCAAAGCCACTTCCATGTCAAGCAACGGAGAGATGCTGAGGTCTGTTTGTCTCTTTCAGGCCAACGTTTGCAGCTGAAAGCAGCCAAGCAGCGCTACAGCCCGGAGCATATCCCAAGGCCTAAGTCCGGGACATCATGTCCAGAACTCTGTGGATTGCAAGATCTTTCAACAGCATAGAACACCACGTGGCTGTTCAGCCGGGATCTTCAGCTAGCTTCCAGGATCTTCAGATGGCGCTTCAGCATCTGACTCGAAGAAGTTAAGCCACAGGCTGCATCAATGGAGGGTGCCATGTCTCTTCGATGTTGTACCTGGAGGCTTGGAGGCGCAACGAAGCGAAGTCGCTGAGAGTCATCACCTTCTCTAAAAGACTAGCGATGGCCTTCAACGAGGGAGGGATACCGTTTGATGGGCCTTTGAACAGGATGACCTTCTCACATGTTCTCAGATGGTTCCATGCAACAAACATCGTCTCACGCCACGTCAGACCAAAAAAGACGTTCTACGACGTCCAACTGAAAGTTCTACACTGCGTTGATCGCTCTCTCTGGGCTTTCCCAACGAAGGGAAATAGGCACCCCACGCCTGGGTCAGACATCCGCTTCGAGTCGTCCTCCACCAACCATCCCCATGCGAACCGCGAACCCTTCAACATCCTTCAACCAAGAAAGGATGTGGAAAGGGTTAGAAGAGTGAAGACCTCCTCTGTTGCGCATCTGCACGTTGTGCCAAACTCAAGATGCCCATCTCGTGGCCCGGCCATCGGATGCCTGGCCCAACCCCTACTGAGGCTATGACGACCGGCCATGTTGCCAGTACAAGGGCCGGGTGGACCACACGCATGACAACTCCAACTCTATCTATTGGTCATGGATTGTGAATGTTTCGCCAACCAACACGTGTCACCACCAAATCCCAGCAATAGAAAGCTGAGAGACTCGGCATTTGATGATGTTCCAGTGTGTGCAAGTTCATTTTATCTGCAATTTGCCACTGAGATTTTGACCAGAAAACCCACAATCCAAGCGCTAGTTGTTGTGTTGAGTCTCTTAAGCTTGTGATTTTAGAGCTCCTTTTGCCAGGGCTCTTGCACTAGGGCTGCTGAGAACGGAAGAGGACTCTGAGCTCTGCTTGCCGCTCATCGGAAGCTTTCGTGAGCCGAACTACATTCTGTGAGCCAATAGCGGTTTTTGCCACGGCGCTCAGAGGGCTCAAGTCCTAAACACATGGACACATGGAGCACACATGAAGACATGAAGGAGGTGAGACTCTCACTGGCACATGTGACGCTCTTGAGGAAACCACCACGACAAGGGCACGCAGCCTTTTGGAGAGATCATCCGGCCTCTAAATCCGATATACCAAAACATCCACATGTTTTGAGGAGGTTCTTGAAGAACGGGGTGTGATGGACTGAAAAACAACACCAAAGGCACCAACACTCTGCCTTTTTGGAAACCATTTGCTGTGTGCAGCTCCTTTAAAAGGCGCCTTATTAAAGGGCCTGGCCGCCAGGCGTCAGGCAGTCAGTGCAAAGTTACTTCAGCTCGCATGCAAACCGGCAGCCTAGCTCCATTGTCCGAAGCTCCAACACTTCGAATTGTGCATAGATGATAAAGATAAGAGCTCCTGAAAGCTTATAGTCACAAGTCTGTAGCTGGTTTGGGGATTAATTAAATTAAGTATTTGGTCGAAAATGAAATAGGCACGTCGACAACCTCCTGAAGTAGTCGGTGGCCCATCGTGTGTGACGGTCAAAAGCGAAAGCCCTGCCTGGAGGGATGGGCTCACGGCCAGCACGTTTCATCATTGCTGCAAGCTGTTGCGAAGCTCCCTGCCACATGCCAAACCCTTCCATTTGGAAGCACTTACATGACCAGAAGACCAATGTGCACAAAATGGAGGAAGCAAAACTAACGTTGCTTGCCATCAATCGCTCCGCTATCGACCCCACTGGCAGAAGACTCAGGTCCAGCAAACATGTCGACTCCTTCCCAGCTTTCTTCACGTTTGCACCTGCATCCAGTTCCTTTCCGTCTCAGACGGAAAGCCAAAATGGATTCCCCCCCCCAAAAAAAAGTGCAATACAACATCGTCCACTCCTCCGAAGCTGCTTCAACACATCCATCTTGCCAGATCTCTTCCACCCCTTCCGCCAGATCTCTCCCGCTCCCGCTCCCGCTCCAGCCAGTCGACCGTCGAGGCCCCGCCTGATGCTCTTCCGCAAGTCCTTCGCCCCGAAGACCGCCGACCCAGCCACGGCCTCGTTGGCCCCGGCGGCCGCCGCCAGAGCGGCGGTGCGCACCGTCACACCGCCGTCCACCTGCAGAAGGGGCGGCGGAACGACGGTGCGCCTCTCGGTCCGGAAGTGATCATTCCATCGTGTGGCATCATTTGGCAGGACAAAACCTACCTCCAAAAAAAAGTATAACAAAAAGAACATGGTGGGTCGTTTGTTTTCGGCCGTCGAGTTCGAAGAATTGGTTCCCTTTCGATCGAAGAGTTCGAACTTCGAGCGGTTTCCACCTCCAGGGATTTGCCCGGGAAGGTCTCACGAAGCTCTCGCAACTTGGGTAACACCTGGCGGCCCAGGAGCGATGACGGATGCGATTAACGAACACTTGCGCGCGTGTTCTTCGGGAAAAACATTGTGATGCCGTATGAAAGTCAGATTTTGGTGGTCTTATCCAGCCAAAATGTCAAATCTCTTTTAAACGGAAGGAAGGGGGGAAAGAATTGGCTGGTCCTCATCCTGAGACGAGTTGGACCGTGATGTGACTGGCTTGAACCCATCAAGAGAACATGTGCTATATGTTGCTGTAAAAACCGATCTACAACGTATTCTCCTGCGTCACTCAATGTCGATTCAACCTTGCGTTCCAACATATCTTTCTGACACAGGAAACAAAAACACTCCAGTCTGACACGGTCAAACTCTTCAACTAGGTACACGTGCGATAGATGGTTGTTGGTTATTGCCCTCCTTGGTTTCAGTATTTGCAGGGCCACAGTGGAGAAATCAGAGTGTCTGAGTGGTATATTTGACCCCGGCCCCGTGCTTGGGGAGAAGAAAAACAACCAAAAACACATTAAATACGGTGGAACACTAGGACTTCACAACCCCAGAAACTAACGGCACCCACATGTTTCACACCAGAGGAGTCGTCGTGGTTCCTCCAAAAACGCATTTGGTGTTTTGCGAACCTTCCTTTGTCTCCACATGAAAGCACTTTTGCATAGATCCTGCCTTTTTGCAAACTGTTGGCAAAATGCAAATGTACAAAGACAAACTGCCAAATATCCAAGCACATGAGAGACTCCATGCCCAGTGGATCCTCACCCTTGGTCAGTCAGTGGGTATGTACAACAAAACTCCACCAGCGCTGAAATGTAGGGACTGACCAAACCCAAGGCGCTTGCCCGGTCAACGACCACCCCAAAACGGACCCATTTCTGCTTGAACGGCCCTCGCCTCTGGCATGAAGGCTTGACCCCCGAAGCCGGGTGGCACCGTCATGCACAAGACCACATCAAAGCCTTCGGCTGCCTGGTGGTTCGAACGGCCGTGTCCCTCCCAGGGTTCAAGGCTGGGGTCATGTCCCGGAAGCGGGATTTGAAAGAGCAAAGAGATGAAATTGTTGAGAAAAGACCTTCTCAAACGCCATGGACAGGGCCACATACAGTATTATGTGGTCTCCTTCCTTGAAAAAAAACCTTCTTTTGACTTACTGTGTTCTTCTCTCCGTCGATTTGTCCACCTCCAGCACCTCTCGACTCACACTGGTCTGAGGGGCCAGCGCCAGGCCCACCTGGACGAAGGCAGAGAGGGGTCGTTCCGACCGACCCGGCGGAGGTGTTCAGAGGCACTTGGCAGAGGCACTCCTTCCTTGAAGACTTAGCAGTGCCATCCGTTCAATTTCGGAAGGGGACATGAAGCCGGAAGGGCCACAAAAGCTACCTCGGACTTCTAAAAACTGCCACCGAACACTCCCCAGTGATTGGTCAAAGATGAGAATCAAACAGTGGAACTCCTAGTAACAAGAAGCTACGGTTACGAACGTAACAAAGGGCATCGCTACGAACAGAGCAAGGACGCTACTAGTAGCTCCTGGCATTACTAGTAACAAGAAGACACTAGGGGCTAGGAACAAGGATGCTACTAGTGGGTCCTGGCATCGCTACAAGGAGCAAGAAGATACTAGGGGCTCCTGGCCTTACTACTAGGAACAAGGACGCTACCAGGGGCTAGTAGCTCCCTTCAATTCCACACCACCACACGACCCACCTCCAGGCCCAGCTGGTGTGCCAGCTGCGCAGCGGCCTTGGCCACGTGCACCGAGCCCAAAGCTTCAAAGTGCAGCAACACTCGGCTGGCGCCTCGAGAGTCCACGACCGGCGCCAAGACGGCCACGGGTCACAAAGTCACGAAGGTAACCGTCTTGAAGTCCGACTTAGGTAGAAGCAGGTAGAAGGCCGCAGGTCCTACATGTTTTTGTGTTCATGGTTGGCCCAGTCTGTGAGGCCCTGTGAACTGAGCTCTGTGGCTGATCAAGCGTGTTTTGAGGGTCTGGAGATGCTTTGGAGAAATAGACCGATTCCAAAAACGCCACGGAGATGTTTTGTTCTTCTCCCGATCAACGCGTGGCCAGCACGCCTGCTTTGGCCAACTCTTCAAGATACTGAGCAGGCTGGGTCACGCAGAGGTGCACGTCCAAATAAGCACTTGGCTCATGTGCCCTCAGCGCTTTCACCACCTCAATGCCGATGCAAAAATGTGGATCCACGTCCTTTCCCTTCATTGTTCATTTACAGCCATGTCGACTACTTCCACGCCAAATGTACCAAAGCTGACAGTAGCATCAGGTGATAAACATGAGTCCCTAGTGTCATCTTTTGAAGAGTTTGATGCCATGACCTCCATGAACTCCAATCAAACTCCCAACCACTGCCAAGTCCACAAACGACTGCCGAGATGCCATAGGGCCAAACGTAAAGGCACCCTTCAGCGCAATTGTCCGGGGGAGAAAGAAAAACTTCCAAAACAGTATGACAAGAGAATGTTCCCAATTCTCCTGGACTACATGACTAGATATGAGATGCGTCGACTAGAATGACTGGAATGTTCTCCCGTGCGTTCGGAAACCCACCAGGTCAACGGCCTTCAAAAAGCCCTTTCTTTTGCAAAGGAACGGTTCAAAACCTGTGAATCGCCGGAGCGAGCGCATCGGATCGATGCCGCCGGCCCTGCCGCGGACGGCGCACGCCGGACGCAGCTCCAGCCTTCACCCAATTTCCATCAAAGACGTCTAAGTGCACGAAGTCTGCCCCGGCGCGCAGCACGCGCCGTGTCTCTTTGGCCAGCATGGACAAATCTCCTGCCAGCACCGACGGCCCTACACGCACCTTCGGTGCTGGTCCAGGCGCCGCCGCAAGCATCGTGGGCCAGTGTCGCGGCGGAAGAAAAGCGAAAGCGATGCGCCAACCATCGTAGGGCATCCAGCAGACTTTCACTGCAAGGAGAGCCAGGCAAAGGCGCAAGACGCGAAAGAGATAGATGTGGCGCATCTTCCTGCTCAGGTGTGTTGTTCTTAGGTGGGCGAATGGCTTGGAATGAGTCGCTGGCGGTTGGACTCAAAGATGAACATACAGAACAGTACGCATGCTACCCACAAGAGTAACCCGAGAAATTCAATTTTGGTCTTCAAAGTGATAACAGCACTGAGCTCCTCTTCTCTGCACCGCCCCCAACAAGGCTGCATGGCGACTCATCATGCATGATGATTGGGTGGGTGTCGGAAGTCCACCAAATGTGTCTCCTAAAAAGTTCCAAACTCAAGTTAATCACTTGCCTTCAAGTTAAAGTACCCAACTGTACCCTTCAAGTTTGGCTTCCATACTTCTGCACCCCAATGTCCATGATTTTCTCAACACGTATTTGCTGACACTGAAAGGGATGCACTTGGATCTGTGGTTTCCTACTCTTGGCCAAACGTGCTGGAGAGCAGAAAAGCAGCGAAGCAGGCTCATATTCAACCATTGGAGAATATGGAAGGTGCCCAACAGCCTTTTCAAGAGAAGTTCAATTTTCCTGCCGCTGTGTAGCTGATGATCAGCCTTCCAAATGTTTAATTAGACCCACCATACAAAATCAACGATTCCCAATTTCAGAAATGGACAGTTCCATCGAACCTGGATTGCGTCCCAAAAAAACACCAGGGCGCACCACAGAAAACATGCTGGTCTCTTGCCGGGTCGTAGACCTCTGAAACCTTTTTCCTATGGCCTGGGTCTATAAAATTACCAGCAACAGTGGATGATGATGGTTGGATTGACCGCTGGTTAAATAAGTGATAATCAGTTTACAGACGGGCTCTACAGGTAGGACAGACCCAACCACAGCTCGCACAGCAGCTCTCCAAACTTCCTCTCCTTTTGAACCGATGCCCCAACATCCCTCGGAGCTGCGCGTCGCTGCTGCGGGCCGAGGGCACTGGTCCTCTGATGAGGCAGTGACCCTGGTTTGGAAAAGATTGGAAGTGAACTCTTTTCTGGGAGAGGCAATTGAATACACTGAATACACAAGGCTCATTCGGACATGCTGACATGAGACAACCTGGAAAAATACCAAATATAGACATGCGTGGGACTTCTAGAACTCGAACTCCAATGGACCATGGCACCCTGCAAAACTCCATTTGAAGAACTCCATCCAAACCTTTGACGGTCTTCTTTTTGGGGGGCAGGGGCGTGGGTCATTCCAACGGCCCATTTCACGGACCCTTTTCGGTTCCTTTCGGTTCACCGTCCGACTGGTTCGACACGAAGAGCACGAGGACAAAGTGATTCCATTTGCATGGGTTTCGACCCGGCGCAGTGTGCAACCCTCAGGAAAAAAGGGGAAGGTGTTCGTCTTGCGCTCAAAAATAGGCCTTCGCTGTAGCTCTCAGATCCCTTTGCTACAAGTCTTGGGGGACTGGATGTGTTTCAATGCGTCACTCCTGCTTCAAAGCGCATGCTGTGAAGGTAGAGATTGGGCGCCAGCAAGTGTTGTGCCTGCGTTGGAACAACGGAGACATCAGGTCTGGTGGAAGCATGCCAAAGCCAAACAGCCAGTCATGATGATCCTTTTCGCAAAAAGCTGGCACCAATGTGTCATCACATGCCTGAGTGAATGAGGGTTAAGAATGGCTACCATGTCAAGGTTCGTTTGCAAGTATACGAAGCGATGCAAGAATCTCTGAACGCTGGCCCAACATCCATGTCTCACATCGCTCCACACGAAATGTCAAAACAACCATCTCCGACCCTTGCATTGCCTTGCATCCTTAAAATTCTTGACTTAAGGACAATTCGATGACACCACTTGATTCGCGAGAAAGGTGCCCTGGACTGCCTCAAAGTCAAGGCCCTGGTAACTGGCATCGTAGTGTACAACGGCCGCGCGCCGAGCAGAGACCAAGCGGCGCGCTGGCAGGTCATCAGCAACCAGCGGTAGCTGGGTCATCATGGGGCAGGAGTAGTAGATTTCAAACCTCGATACTTCGCAGTGTGCGCCCCAGGTGGTTGTAACTGTTCCAGTTCCAGATCTACTTCCAGTTCTAGATCCAGTGCTTTTCCAGTTATTTCAATTCCAACGATGAAATGAATACTTGTTTTGTGTGGGGGAGGAGATCCAGTTCCAGATCCAGATCTAGTTGCGATTCCAATTCCTCTGATAAGGGACATTTGTCTTTTTATGAGAGATATTTCATTTCCATTATATATTTTATTGGTATTTTTGGGGAGCTACACCTTATTATTTTGCTCCATTATTTAATCCTTGTTTTCATCATATGTTTCTATATTATTTCATTATTGTTTTTGGTCTATTATTCATATTCGTTCATCATATTATTATATTCTTGAATATTGTTTTGTGGGTGAGGGTGGGGGGGAGTTCCAGTTCCTGATCCAGTTCCAGTGAGGAACACTGCGAGATTTCGACCACCATGTTGGTGGCCACACAACCTTCCAAAGCTGAGAGAAGACAAAAAGAAAAATGGGTGGTCCAAGTCCAAATGCCCCTTGTGTGATTCTGTGGTCGAAATTCAGGTTTGGAGCTCAAGCCGCCACATCAAAGCCTGGATGCACCAGGGTGCCAGCCAATTCAGGTTGCAAATATTCAATTGACCTCCTTTTCTCAGCTGTGGGGTCACCCCATGAGGCCGATCTCCCTCTTTCCGCCAACGGACGCAGGTGTCCCGTGCCAGGTCCAGTTCTGGACACCAAGTGACGGTACATCCTGCTCAGCCAGAAGCATGGCCAGGTCCAAACTCTCTTGCGCCGTCGTCCTCGTCCTCAAACACGTCTCGGACTCGGATCATCCAAAAACAGTGCCTTTTTCGCCGGGAAAAGGCTGCTCTGTGTGTAATCCTAGCTCTTCTTGGTGTGGATAAGAGCTTGAAACACTACAGCGAATGCTTCTGAGTGCAATTCATTGCATCAGCATTCCCAATGCACTTCCTACAGCAAGACCTAACAAAGCTATGATTAATAGGGGAACACCAAACTTCCTTTCTTCCGATTGCTAGGCTCGCCTGGTCCGAACTTGCGGGGGAGGCGAACTCACGAAAATGCCTTCGCCGGGAGTCGCTGGTCTTCGCATGTAGCTCTGAGGATTCACCAAAGGCACTCGCCGGGACCAGTAGGGATCCAACAAGGCGATTCCTCGGCGCACCACGACGGGGTCTCCCGGTCTCCGGCGAAGTTGCTTGAGGGTGATCAGTCGTAAGTAAAGACATATGCCATCAACTGGCTTGGCCTGGCCAGATGTTCGTCCAAAGTCTGGATGTTGTGAACGAAAAGCTCTACAGTACCAAGGGGGTGACATCACGCGCATGCCAATGATGTCTGCATGTGTATCTCATGATCTTCTGCAATGGTCAACCTCTTCACCTGGGCAACTTGATGAACTTCAAGTTGCTTGCAGCCACCCAGAACATGCGTATCTGTGCCAACTGTGCAGAAAACCGCCTGCCTTTTCACTGTCCATTGGGACCGGTGGCCCCACATGATGAAAAAAACAGAAAGCATCACTTCCTTCTACTTCCGACCATGGCGCGCAGGGACCCCGCGGCGGACCCCGCGGCAAAGGCTTGGGCTGCCGCGGCGATGACTAAGGGAGACCTGGAACGCACGAAAAACGATCACCGCTGGCGCTGGATCGGCTGAACTACTTGGAGTCACGGTGTGCAATCCCGGGTCGCAGTTGGAGAGTGTCTTGGGCCAGTGTCAAAAATCGGTGTTTGGGAGGTTGAGAAGTTGAGGCAGATCTATATTTCATGGGCTTCTTGGGCACTCCTTTGTGAAGAGGATCGGCCTGTAAGGTAGATCAACTGCAGTTCGTGGTAGCAAGACGTGCGAACTGTCATCAAACAATGAGCATGCAAAGTTATGGGACAGCATTGAGACCGTGAGACCTCTTGAAGGCAGAGTTTCTCATCGCCGTTGCATGTTCTCCATGTCAAAAGCACCCGCAATCACCCCACCAACAACTGCTGGCTGTGCACCCCAAAGAGTGCCCTGCCAAGCGCAGCTTTCTCGACGATTTCAGCGGCAGCTGCTGCAGCTGCGAAGCCAAAAGATCAGCACAGCTCTGCGAGATCGAGGAGGCCTTGGTGAGGCCGACAGGTGAACTGAAGACGGCACCCACCGTCAGTCTTGGAATGGATTATCCCCATGGCCCATCGGCATTGATTCGACATTGATTGAGCATCCCAAAGGGAGGCACGGGCTCCCATCCTAGATCTCTTCTGAGACTTCTCAGATCTTTGTCCTACCAACTCTATATCCACAGTGAGGTAGTCTCTGCGTAGGTACTTAGAACTGTTGAAGTTCCATCCAATCCCGTAGAGGTCGCCATTTTCAGGGTTCGTTTCATCCGATCTTTGTCAACTAAGCAAGCAGTGAAAAAGAATCCCAGGATTCCTGAGATGGTGCCTAAGGACGAAACAGTGTGGTGCAAAACTAGGAATCTCCTGCATCGCTACTAGTAGCTTCTCGTTACTAGTAGTAACGCCAGGAGCTACTAGTAGCGTCCTTGCTCCTAGTAGCGATGCCCTTTGCTACTGGTAGCTTCTTGTTACAGTACTTATCAGAACTTTCACATACAATTTCAGTTGAGGAATCCAATCTTCGACACTCTTTTTCATCGCACCTTGAAATCGCCCGAGGCTGTGCGATAGCGCATGCGCCTCAAGAAAACGATCCGGTTGAATCAAATCTCCAGATGTCCGGTATACGAAGGGATCACCAGTTTTCTCTAAACAGGTGGTGAACTCCACTTCCATCCACTTCCACTTGAGGGACCTTTTCTGTGTACGCTATGCATACTCGATCTGAACATGTCCGATGGATCATGCACCGATGGATTTCCCGCTCCAACGGGGCTCCAAGCGGCATCGACGACCTTGGGAGCCCCCTGAGGGCGACGCATCGCAGGTGGCAGCTTGCAGCTGCAATCGATTTATCGATCAGAACTGGGTCTAAGGATCCCTAGGATCTTGGAAACGACGAGTGATTTGGTGTCCACGCCTTGGGAAAGTCCAACGCCTAAATCACCAAGCAAAGCATTTCGAGTGGCACCACTCCGACTTGCAGCCCTGTGCAGCTCCAAAACCTCACCATTCCACGCTTGGTTGATGTCTTCTTGTAGCTTACGGATGGTCATTTCTTCGAACCCGGACGTTAGACGTTAGACGTTGCACCGCTTCTTTCGGCTCCACCCCATGTGGCGCACCTGGGCCCCTCAGCAGTCCAAATCTTGGCTTCAGCGTCAGGCAGCCAATCCTCATCCGAGAACATGTCCTGAGCACTTCTGGCACATAGGAGTCATAGGTTTTCTTCGGATGTTCTGGATTGTTCTGGTAAGGTTCATTTGACTTTTGATGTTGGAGTTCAGCAGGGCACAATTCCATGGGCGGTTGGTTGTCCAACGAAGAGGGCTGCATTCCCTGGCTGATATGATCCTGGAACGCTGCGATCACGTACCTTTACCACTATCTCTTGGGCCCCATCGTAACTAGAACAAAAAAGGCCAGCTGTTGCATCCAGTCCTTCACATCTGCGTTTCCATGCATTCGACTCGTTGAACGTGAAGATGAAACTTTGGAGTTGTTGGAACCTCTTGAATTTTTCGGCATTCCTTAGGCCTTTACATTCTGCCACGTGGCCCAATAAAAAATGCCCACATTCCACCGACGTGTAAGCCACGGCAGAGCCAGGTCAAAGTCGAGGCCGAAGCGCGGCTCGTTGCTTTTCCAGTGGAAGGTCTCACGATACTTCTGCCGGAGACGATCCACCTGTCTGTCGGTTTGCGGAAAGAACCGTTCGAACTCTGAGTTCTCAGATCAATCCACTGCGAATGCCAGTCATGTGGAGGGTATGCCAAACAGCCGATTCTAGGCCGACAGTTGAAAAAAGTTATACAGTATAACTTGTAGACTATCCCATTTGGGTACCTGGAGGTGGGTCCTGCTTTAGGTCACCAACAACCTCTCTTGGATTGTCCCCACGGTGCCAGCGGCCTCCGGATCCGGCCTCCCAGCCATGGACGTAGATCAACACATCGCGGTCGTCCAGAAAGTACGCGTTCGGCTCACCCGGTCGGTACTTCTCACACACGTTTCCAGCACCAAAGAAGTAGAGGCCATAGTCCAAGGAATGGGGGAAGCCTTCAAAATCAGAGACGCTCCTGCAGCTGAGACTACTTCTGTGCAGCATCTTTAGCCAAAACGGCACGAAGACATGATGCAGTCTGGTGGACGAACGTAGTCACCGTCTCCGAACATCCGAATCATGTCCTGCGGAGTCGAGCCGAGCGCACCCGACTCCGCTTCCAACAAGCAAGGCCGGTGAAGACCCACCAGTGAGGACCTGAGGGAAGCCAGGGGCCATGGAGAAATCTCCGTGAAGTTACTTCATATGCGTCAAAACGACATGCTTGCTTTCGTTCTTTCCAAGGTTAAGGGTTCAATACTTCACCAAGTTCAATTCATATTAATTCACAAAGAGGCAACCTCGATCCCACTTTCTTCCGGGGCACGGCAGTTGCCACACACGCGAGTCTTCCTGGATGGAGCTGTGCTCTGAACACGCCTGCGATCGATTCCAGCGGAGGATCGATTCCAGTCAGTGTTCACATTCAACCAAGACCCTAAAAATATGTGCATTGGCGCCCTTTGGTGCCCCGTTCCACGTGTCAGACTCCGCAAGCTTCAGCCACCAGTTATCATTTATAATAGTTGAACTTGACAATCAAGATGAGTCAAGCACTGGAGAAGGGAAGCTAGCCTTTCTGGAGGTGTGCTTGGCCATGCATCATGTGGCACAAGTGCGCAGCGCATTGGCAGGGGACCAGCCTCTCTTTGAAAATGGGCACGGCACTCACTCTTGCAGTCGGTTGCATGAATTCTTTCTCTGACAAGTCCATGTCACAACAAGGCTGTGCATGGTTGACCGGGTTGACCCGTCGCTGAAAACTAGACTCGACCTATGATCAGGTGGTGCTGCTCGAGCCCCGGCGCGATCGAACCACATCCAAAACAGAGTCTCGCGGCCAGTAACACCATGTCATGATGATGGTATAGAAAAATGTCATCAACTCAAACAATGCCTCGTCGCGAATGCCACCGGCTTGGGGATGTCTACAACAAGGATGGGTTTGAATTGCAGGTCTTTTGAGAGCCGCCTCACGAGCAGAAGGTCCGGCAAGTCCTTCTCTGGGTTTGCCACACTCTGCACTCTGCGTGGAACGCCAGCAATACGTGCTAGCCGAGATTCAACATGGCTCGAAAACATCTGCTGGGTACAAGCAATGCGTGCGAATTGCAAGCGATGCCTGCAAATTCTGAGCGACTGACTCTGCACATTTCTGACAAAAACGAAAGAGGGAGCTAATGTGGGAAAATCCCACCCAAACCCGTGTGCAGAAAATTCCACCATCTTTCGAGGATACAACATGATACAACGCACGTTTGTGCAACAAGAGTTTGGGTAGCTCGATGTCTGGCTGCATTGACCTCGTCCGCCAGTGACACTGACCTCGCCGGCGCCGTGAGCGACCAACTGCCAGACGGACCAGGGCCAACTGCCAGGACTGCGGCTTCGATCGCCTCGAAAAGTGAAACTGGGAGCAAACATGGGTTAGAACCAGCAAGAAACGAGTGAGTGTGAAAGTGATCTCTTGGATGCAAAATGTTGTGGTGAACAAGACATGCAACGAATTGTTCCAAAATGTTGTGCCCCAGAAAGCAAAACCTGTGCGTGGCCCAAGCACTCGCACACCATGAGACTTGAAACGCATTCTTGGAAGTGCATTCTTCTCATGTTGCCTCCCTCGAACTGCGGGCCTTCCGTGGCCGCAGCGCGGGCCCGCCGTGCGCGCTGCGTTCCTTCGTGCACTTCGCCACAGGCGGAAGCACCGGCCACCTGTGCTCAGTCCACCAAAATCAGCTGCGCTGCATTCCTTCCCTCACTGGCCTCTTGGCAAAAGGCTTCGGCCAGCCTCATGCACGAGCAATCTGAAGGACATGGGGCATGAGTGTTGAACGCTGATTAGAAACAATTAGACTCCTGCTTGCAAAAGCCTTTCCACGCAAAATCCCTGTTGCCCCACACCCCACCTTGCTCCATAATTGAGCAGCTTGGCGTGTGTCTAGGTGAATGAGGGCAGCACAAATGCTTGAGTTCAAATCAGCAGAGAGCGAGATCATAGGACCTCGACCGATGATAGCTGTTGAGTTGGCATCTTCCAGAAAATGCTCTTCACCCCTTCTTGCCAAATGGGCCTGCTCCGCTCCCTCCGCTTCGTACGTGTTGTCTTTTGTCCCTCTGGAGCAAGCCGGCAGTCCACCGCCGGAAGAACATGCTTTAAAAAAGGTTAGGCCAGGAATCAGCAGCAGCTGTGCTCATCCGCTGATCCTTTTGGCAAACCGGGACAAAAGTGATCAAAACTGGCTGCTGAGGAACAAATGGCCTTAGCACCAACTTCTTTTAACCGACCATGGACCATCGGGTGCTAACAATGGACCAGGAACCCGCCAAATCTAACTGTTCTGTGGTGCTGAGCAGCAAAACTGCAGTTCTTTCTGCAAGTGCTGATTGATTGAGAGATTGAAAAGGATCTCCCGCTCGAAGAATATGAGAGCCAAAAGCTGCAGGCAATGGCCTGCGACGTGCAGCATGCATCTGCGACGGCCTTTTGTGAGAGCCAAAAGCTGCAGGCAGTGGCCTGCGACGTGCAGCATGCATCTGCGACGGCCTTTGAACTCGGTCCAAAAACCCAGAAGTTCTAAAAAGTTTTGGCACGGGAATGCTCGCACCACTTCGGTTGAGGTGGACCATACCAGCAACCCCGCAGTTCTTCACAGAAATCGACGGATTCTCGTTGAAGTTGGGTGATCATGTTCAAGTCATCCACCATATCTCTCATTGCTTGGTGTCCCTGGTTGTACCCACAGAGAGTCAGTATGTTCGGTGAAGAGCGAAAGATTGCAGGATTTGAGCGTGCAGAGGCCCTTCCCACAAATTGGGTATGCGGGTGAGGGCCTTTCCTCATAAAGGTGAACTAATTTAGCAAAAATCATGGTGGCGCGAAAGCAAACAAGAACGCTCTGAGACATGCTTTTGAAGCTTGTCCCTTGTCCAGGCAGTGCTGAAGTGCTCATTGGGAACCTTCAGCCATGTCTGGTCGTCAGGCCATCCCTTGATCTCAACCAACTTCCACCAGAACCTAAGACCATGACCTTAGCCTGGTCGACCATGGCACGCCTTGACCGATGCACCCAATGTTTGCTTTTCTAGCCTTTCTTCAAACAGAGAGTACTCAGAGTACTCTACATAAATGTCTGCAATGCAAACAACCATCCGATGACCATCCTGTAGAAGGGCAGAGGTTCTTCTCAGTCTGATGAACTGGACCCACCAGCTCCTGCAGGTGAAACAGCTTGGTGATCTGCAGTTCCAATTGGATCCACCTAGATTCGGAGACTAAGCTTTGGCTGGAATTGAAAGCTTCACTCAGCAAACCCGCGGTTTTCCTTGCTTTCCCTTTTCCCAAGCGCAGCTCTGGATCGCATGAAAGGCGCATGTACGTCCATTTTCACCACCACCACATGCCAAAACCGCCCGGATCCCACCGCGGGCTCGGCGCGCCGCTCCGCCCTCTCCCTCGGCCCGGTCCTGCGAAGAGGAACTCCAAGTCCGCCATGAAGTTGGAGTCTCGGGCGTAAAGGCCGAGGTTTTGGGAGAGGAATTGCAGAGAGTCTTGCAGAATGGGAGGAGTTTCAACTAACTACTTAGTACTTCTTGTCCTGAGGACTTCCCTTCCCAGGCGATGGTGGACCTCAAGAACCCTGACTTGACATTACCATGTCGGATGGAATTGCCTGCTTGGATCAAGACCAATACCGGTGCATTCATCCGTTCAACTCCGATCGCAAGAAGCATCTCCACATCTTCTCCGCCTTCTGAGGACTGTCTTGAAAAGGCCAAAGCAGGTCCGTGCAACCTGGTGATTTTGGACGTGTTCGGCTTTTGGCAAAAAACGGAGCTTCCAACGATTGTTGCACGCGCCTCTCCCTGGCTTGTTGCCGTCGCTTGTGATTCCAGCTAAGGTCCTCCAAGGTAGGGCCTGGAAAGCAAAACCCTGCACAGATCACTTGGGAAAACTGCAAGCCTGCGCTTTTCGAGCTCTAAGGGGCTGCAGGTATATGTGCATACAAACCTATACATAAGCGACTGCACCCCACATGGAGCACTTTGCTCAGCGGAGTGGTCCACTAGTCGCCCCATGGACGTGGCCAATCGCAGCATTTGCATCTGCGAAGGGTGGTGAACGGCCTCGTCCTGAAATTCAGCTTCGAGCATGTGCTGTCTGTATGGTGCACATCTCGGCCCTCCAAGTAAAAGGTCTCCTCGTAAGGAGGCAACTTCAGGTTGCACTGAATCGCCTGCTCCTTCATGCAGGCTCGCTTCAAACCCAGGCTCAAGCCCCCGGAAACCATGAAGTGCTTCGTCAAGCACCTGAAGAACATCCACAGCATCAGGCTCTGGATCACCAGGATGATGCCGAAGGCAATGCTCAGGTCGGTGAACACCCAATCGGCCAGGGCTCCACCAGCAATGCTCATCCTCGAGCTCCTGCTGCCCTCATTGGGCTCAACCTCAATCCCAGCTGCACCTTGCAGCAATGCCATCGTCGCCACCATCAGGGCGTGCTTGCTCACATGCTGCAGGGACACAGCATTCACACTCTGTCCATCCTCCTTCTCCTGAATCGTGCCGAGGCGATCCTCAGTCATGTAGTTGCCAATGCCCAACTTCTCGCGAAGCTCATTGAATCGCTTCACAGCCAGGCCCTTGCTGCCAAAGTCGGCCAGGTTGTCCTGCGCGTTCACAGCATGCAGGCTAAAGAGCTTCCGCTGAGGGCTTCCTGAACCCATAGGCTCTTGACCTCAAGGTGCCGAATGCGTCCAACACCTTGTCTCTGAAAGACTCCATGTCCACGGGGAAGCCAGCAAAGGCCAAAACCTCCTTCATGAAAAGGCCCTCTGAACATGCTGCAACGCCACCGTTGAACTCTGCCTCTCCACTGCTGAGGCATAGCATCTGCAGGCTGCAGGAATAGCTGAACAGCAGGCAATTCCCCACACTGAAAGTTGCACAGGCGCAACTCTTCCTCGTCTTCTTGCAGTTTGCCCAGTCCGTGTCGGAGTGGATCACCAGCTTGTCGATCTCGCCCTCCTTTGGGAGCCACACTCCGTAATCTTTGGTGCCCTGCAAGTACCTCGCCAGTCGATGTAGCTTTGCCATGCTGCCGTCGTAGGGCTCCTTCATGTCACGGCTCATTTCTCTCACGGCGAACTGTATGTCCGTCCTGTCGTAGGACAGGTAGAGCGCCACACCCACACCAGCTCGAAAGAGCTTCACACTTGCCCCACACAGCTTCTTGCCCTCCTTGATCTCGGTGTGCATCTAGGGAGTTGGTGCAGGGTTGCAATCTTCAAGGCCCAACATATGCAGCAGGTCGTTGATATACTTGGCTCGCGGCGTCAGAAAGATGCCGTCTTCCAGGATGCGCCTCGTCCTCTTGAGGTGTGTGAACTTTTTACCAGGAACCATGGGATGGATCTGACTCTTCATCTTGATGCGTTCATGGAGTTGCATCTCCAAATCTTTCAAAGCCGTCATGAACCTCAATGACCACGCCACTTGCTGAATTGTAGAACAGCCACGGCGCTGCAGGGTTGCGTCCAAAGCCAACCTTACCCAGGTGTCCAGCTGTCCACTCAACAAACTTCTGACCAGCAATGCGGCGCCCATACCACTCTTTCTTTAGCCTCCAAACCACATTGTTGGGGATCTCGACGCCACGTGCCTCCTGCCGTGCAATCCATTCTTTTGGCGCTTCCATGTAGGCCTCCTCAGAGATGGGGACCTGCCAGAATGCGTTCTCAGCGTCTGCAGTCATAAAGCCATAGCCCATCTTCACTCCAATCACATCGATCACTCTGGAGGTCGAAGTGCTTGAGGCCACTGCGAACACATCTGTTCGTGGGTCACCACGCTTGAACTCTCGAACGCAGTATCTGCACCGGATGGAGCCATCAGGTTTGCGCCGCCTCACCCAGGTAGCATCAAGCACCCTCATGCCAGACTGTCTCTCCACTGGGTCGTAGGTCTCATACTTGTCCATCTTGTCAAACTCGGCCTCGTCACCCTCGGCAATCTCCTCAATGGTCATGGGCTTGTTCTCCTCGCCGTCGGAGTCATACTGAGTCATCTCCACATCCTCCTCACCGACCATAATGTCCTCGGTGGGGGCATAGAGTGCGCCAACGTAGATGCCTCCGTGCGCCTTCTTCTCTGGACTCTCTCCAACGTCGTCGCCAGTCCAAGCACGTCTTGCTGAAATGCTCTCATCCAGTGGCTCTGAGGTGTCACCTCCGCTTGCAGTGTGC